GGTGGCCCACGCTGGGGTGTCTCAGGCAGTGGGTGACACTGGGGTGCCCCAAAAAAGGGGGGTGGGGTGGAAAGGACACCCCCCTCTCAGGGTGTCACCTGGGAGCTGCCGGACCGCCGTCACGAGACGCCGGCATGTGACATTCCCCCCCCTCCCCCGGCGAGGGAAATCAGGGCGCCGGGGCCCGGGCGGGCAGGGAAAAAATGCTGACGAAGAGGAGGAAGATCAGGGTCCGCTCTGCTGTGGTGTCACCAGGGTGTTGGGTGGCCCCGAAGGGGACACATGTGTGTCCCCGGGGAGGTGGTCCTCCCCCACGTGTGACGGGACACGCCTGTGTCCCCAAGCAGATTGTCCCCTCCTCCGTCTGCGGTGGGAGAGGAGCTTTGCCATGGGGGGAAACAGCAGCTTGAGAGGTTCTGAGGTAACCAGGTGGAGATGGGGACAACCTCGGGGACACGCTAGCTGGCCCTTGTGTTCTCGGGGTCACCCAAGCGTCGGGTGATGGTGTTTTGCCTCCTGTGAGCATCTTTGGGGCTAAACGGCTGCATTTTGGGTCGTGGCATCATTATTTACGGAGCTGCCAGGGCAGGGAATTTAATCGTGGTCTCCTTCATCCCTCAGCTCATCCTCTTCGGGCTCAGCAACCAGATGGTGGTGACCTTCAAGGAGGAGAACACCATCGCCTTCAAACACCTCTTCCTGAAGGACTACGTGGACGGCGCGGACGACTCCTACGCCACCTACACACAACGCGACCTCTACGACCGCATGTTTTACGCCGTGGAGAAGGTGAGGTCCGCGGGCGGAAGGGGACACGGAGGGGGTCTGGGGACACGGAGGTGGCTCGGGGCTGCGCCCAGCTGCTGAGGGCATCTCCTTCTCCAGTACTTGGCCATTCCCAACGAGACCATCGGCCGCTACGCCTACGTGCGGGGGGAGAGCGGAGGGAACCGGTCGGCCCTCATGCTCTGCCAGCAGTACTACCGCAAAGGGCGCATCGATCCGGCCAACGACACCTTCAACATCGACCCCAAGATTGTCACGGGTGGGTTTGGGGAGGATGGCGGTGCTGCCCTTGGGTCCCGGGGAGGTGTTTTTTTGCTCCTTAGCCTCGGCTTGAGAGGGTCCAGGGGGTCTTTGTGGGGCCTTGGGTCCCGGAGGGGTTTTCTTTTCCTCCTTG